GGCTACAGCAGCACTTGCCCCGGATTGGCCAATCTCGCCGCTGCTGCCTTCCCAGGATCTAAGAACTTTTTTTCACCCTTCCAGACTGACTGCTTTGACTTCCTTCTGCACTCCATCGGGTCGTCTTCGTCTGTTCCTCGTCTTCCGGCCCCTTCCTGTCGATTGTTACGCCCCACAGCCTGCCAGAAAGTGAGGCAGAGCGCTTTCTTCACAGAGTCGCCCGCTCGTCTGTTGCGACCGGTTGACACACGCGCAAAGCCCTGCAGCTGGTCCTGCTGTTGTCGTCATATTCACTGTTGGTTGTTTGATTGACCTGAGGCAACATCTTTCGGTGCCCCCCCGCGGCATCTCAATCGTCACAAGATACACTGCTCCTACCCGTCCTGTTCTCCCCGAACTCTGGGCAAAATGGCGCCTCGCAAAACCCGCACCTCAGCCGCGCACTCTCTTGCGTCCAGGATCGAGACCCCTGGTGAGTACTGTTGACCCCCGCACCATGTAGTCCCCTTTTGCTCAGCACCACTTACACCACGGTCCACATCATTTTACTGACCTCATTTTTAAAGAGAGTAGTCGCTCTCGTCGAATGACCAGGTCTACCTCGACCCAAAACCTGAGCTCTGCAGTTTCTCCACCGCCTGTAGACGCTATCGAACCCTTGAGCGTTGCCGTAAGAGGCAGCAAATCGACAACGTCGGCCTCGACCTCGGCTACTTTCACCTCAGCAAGCGAGGCTTCTACTCCGGCTACGAGCCACGAGGTCACGCCAGCGCCACCGGCTGCTGACGAGAAGTCGGCATCTTCTCGACCCATGATGAGTCGTCTGGAGGTGCAGATTCCAGTAATGGAAAGAGCTCCCAGTGAGAGGGCCACTAGAAACACCCGGTTTTCACTCGCTCGCGCCTCGAAGCGCAGCAGCAACACGTATGAAGTTCTCGACAGTGACGAGGATGAGTTGTCTTTTGACACTTCTCCTGACGAGATCATTGCTCGGCGCCTACAAAAAGAAGAGTATGAAAAGATCGACATGCCAACTCTTGTGTCTACCAGTCGTCCAGTCCGTGGTCTGCGAGCTTCTTTGGATAGAACCCCTGTACTCAAGGGCAAACGCGGCAGACCATCAAAGTCTCCACTCTCGGCAAGCATCGAACGGCCTACGAAGAAGCAAAAGTTTATTGATGATTCCGAAGACGATGCCCTCTCTGATGACGCCAATGGTCAAGCTTCGTCTTCAGACCTTAGCGAGGCCTTGAGCATCAAAACAGATTCGGATGATTTTGAAGCCCCCGAGGAGACGGGCGAGGACGACAGCAGCGATGATATGGTTGAAGTTGCGCGGCCGCGTTTCGTGGCGCAGCCTAAGAAAAGGCGCCCAGCTCAGCCCAATGCTCCCCCAGGCTTCAGATCGGCTGCCACGTTGCCAATCCTTCCTTCCTCGGAGCCTGATGATGATGATTTCGACCCAGATCGGTCGGACGAGGAGCTCCCCGAACTTGCTGATGCTAGCGCTCGGATAAATCTCGACGACTCGCATGACTTTGTGCTCGGCCGTCGTGCCCGCCGTGAGCGGGACCGACTTGAGAGACATCACCCAGAACTCGATACAATGTGGACAGACTTGGAAGCACGGCCTGCCATGTCCGGTGCTGAGGCGGTTCAGCCCACCAACATTACACGACAGCTCAAGCCTTTTCAGCTGAAGGGTGTTGCTTGGATGAAAGAGATGGAGACGACTGATTGGAAGGGTGGCCTTCTGGGTGATGAGATGGGCTTGGGCAAGACCCTACAGAGCGTCTCCCTCATCATGTCCGACCACGGCTCGATCAAGAAGCCTTCCCTCGTTTTGGTCCCGCCTGTTGCCCTGATGCAATGGACCAACGAGATTGCCTCGTACACAGACGGAACCCTGAAGACGTTCGTTTTCCATGGCACCAATACAAAGGTCAAGAACGTTACGGCCAAGGAGCTCAAAAAGTACGATGTCATCATGATGTCGTACAACAGTTTGGAGTCCATGTTTCGCAAGCAGGAAAAGGGGTTCAACCAGCGCAAGAAGGGCGAGGTCCACAAGCAGAAGAGCATAATCCACCAAATCGACTTTCACCGAATCATTCTCGACGAGGCACACTACATCAAGGGCCGCGACACGGGCACTGCCAGGGCATGCATCGCCCTGAAAGGCGATTACAGATGGTGTCTGACTGGTACGCCTCTCCAGAACCGAATCGGAGAGCTGTTCTCACTTGTGCGCTTTCTCAACATTACACCATTCGCCTCGTATCTTTGCAAGCAGTGCAAGTGCAGCCAACTCGAGTGGAACATGGACGAGCACAAGATGTGCAACAGTTGCGGACATTCTGCCATTCAGCACGTGTCCGTGTTCAACCAGGAGATTCTGAACCCCATCATCAAATACGGTGCCATGGGTCCCGGTGCCATCGCCTTCAAGAAGCTGCGGCTGATAACTAGCAAGTTCATGCTTCGCCGCTTGAAGAAGGACCATATGAGTGCCATGGACCTGCCCGTCAAAGAGATCAATATCAACCGGGAATTCTTCAGCGAGGTGGAGAATGACTTTGCGCGCAGCATCATGACCAACACGCAACGCCAGTTCGACACGTATGTGGCCCGTGGCGTCATGCTGAACCAGTATGCCAACATTTTCGGTCTACTCATGCAAATGCGCCAGATTGCCGATCATCCTGACTTGATCCTCAAGAAGAATGCCGAGGGCGGTCAGAACATCATGGTCTGCTGCATTTGCGACGAACCTGCCGAGGATGCGATTCGGTCCAAATGTCGGCACGACTTCTGCCGTGGCTGCGCCAGGGATTACATGATGTCGTCCAAGAGCAACATGGATGAGCTGTCGTGTCCCATGTGCCACATACCGCTGGCGATCGACCTGGAGCAGCCCGAGATTGAGCAGGACCAGGCCATGGTAAAGAAGTCGTCCATCATCAACCGTATCAAGATGGAGGAGTGGACTTCGTCAAGCAAGATCGAGACGCTCGTATACGAGCTGCACAAGCTCCGGTCTGACAAGGCCACGCACAAGTCGATTGTGTTTTCCAACTTTACGTCGATGCTTCAGCTCATTGAGTGGCGTCTCCGCCGCGCCGGCGTCACCACTGTCATGCTCGATGGTTCGATGACGCCTGCGCAACGACAGGCATCTATCGACCATTTCATGAAGAACCCAGAAGTCGAGTGCTTCCTGGTTTCCATGAAGGCGGGAGGTGTGGCTCTCAACCTGACTGAGGCGTCTCACGTCTTTATCGTCGACCCGTAAGCAATCCCCTCGGCCCCTGCTTCCATGTGCGTTTTGCTGATCAAAGTTACAGCTGGTGGAACCCTGCGGCCGAGTGGCAGTCTGCGGATCGCTGCCATCGTATCGGACAGGGCCGTCCCTGTACCATAACCCGTCTTTGCATCGAGGACTCGGTAGAGAGCCGTATTGTTCAGCTTCAAGAGAAGAAGACGAACATGATCCACTCGACCGTCAATGGGGATGACAAGGCGATGAAGTCGCTCAGCCCTGAGGACATGCAGTTCCTTTTCCGTGGCAGTTAGTCCACTTGTATTGTTTTGTTCCGAGGTTGATCGCGACTGGTTTTCACTTTTGCTATTCGGTCTGTGCGGAAGGAGCCTGGAGTCATGGTGAATGACACGACACATGAGGAACTAGGCGCCCGGTTGCCAAAGAATCATGCGCATCATGGTTGAGGTTCTGATTCTCAATACTCGAGGCATTTTGGCCCATTGGGATGAAGCGGGATCAACGCTGGCTGGGTTCGCCAGCGGTATCATTGGTAGCGCTACTGTATAATTATGAGCCACGCATACATGGCATTGCTTTATTACGTTGTTGAGCTGTGCAGTGCTCTTTCCATTTGGTGCCTCCATATGAGAACATTTGCTTCGGCCACTCTGCTCTTAGTAGACTTTTCTGCCCAACGAACGTAGCTGCAGGACAGGCTATGACTTGCTCAAGTCTCGTGGGGTATTGAAGCGTAATGGAAAGGCGATATGCAGCCTTGACGATGAAGGAGAACAGAAACCATGACGACCACGCCACAGGGTCTTCGCAGTCTATTTGGATGCCTGCAGTGACTCATGACGACGGGTTTGTAGTCATCTGGAGTGACGGCTCAATGGGACGTGGGTTGGAGAATGTCAGGTTTACCTAAGGGGTTACCTAAACACTGCAAACAACCTGCCTCACAGGATGTGCATCTCGCCGGGGCCTGTGGACGATGGTGTAACAGAGCGACACAGGTTTCCCTCCTCTTTTCAAGCATGCTGATGAGAGGCCGTCGGTTTCTGTTGGGTGAACCTCTTCCTGGAGCAGGGTAACGTAGGGTCAGGTATTCGTCAACGGTTGTGAGACCGCCAGGTCTGGCCACACGACCACGGCGATGACTTGTCTCGCCGTTTGACCTTTTCACGAGTCAAGCATAGGCCACAGAGACGGTTTTGCCTGGGCGGGGGGGCGGCCTTGGCATTTGTGATTGCAGCACAGGAGTCTCGAAGACGGCCCGCTTCGCTTCCGTGGAATGTGTATAAACCGCCGTGCCGCCCCCTATGAATTGCCACAGCCTGAGACCCGGTGAATGTCGCGATAAGCTGGCAACCAAACACAGCCCGATGAATTTTCCCACGAGACCTCAGTCACCCCAAGGGAAGGTGCCGCGTGCCTTCCGTGGTAGAAATTTCGGCACCATCCTCTGCGTTCTGCCAACTGCAACTCCTCTATAGACGAGGGTGGGAAAAGACCACCAGTGAGCCCGTCGACTGAGATCAACACTCTCTCTCTCTCACTCAACCAATCCTTCTTCTTGTTATTCTTTTGAACGGTGTCTCTGCGGTCTACTGCTAGCTTTCGAACAAAAATACCGTCTACCTGAGCATCGAGCACGACCGACGTACACCTTCATCTGGTCTTGCCCCTGGTCTTTCCGCCGCAAAGCCTACACCGGTCAACGTGAGCGACCGCAGCCATGGCGTCGTCGGGAAGAGAGCTCAAGGTCAGGTTCCAAGAGCCCAGCATTGTCATCCAGCGCAAAGAGAACGACGCACGCAACCAGGCTCAAGAGGCGAACGCTCACTTGCAAGCTCTCCGCCTGACTAGCAACAGGCTCGCCTTGTCTTTGAGCAGCTCCCTGAATGGAGTCCATCAAACCCTCAAGGAGATTAAAGCCGATGTCAAAGTGGGAAGTCGCGAGCTCATCCACCGGTACCTTATCCCTCGTATAAAGCGCTACATGGTGTCGTTGTTAACAAGGCCCGAACAGGAACAAGACTACGACGTTCAAGTGCTTCGCCCGCCTCCCCTTTGAGATCAGGGAACTGATCTGGGAGTTTGCCATGCCCAACCGGCTCATCACCTTTGCCCACCCACCCAGCAAGTGGACTCTGAACAGACGTCTCTCCTTGCTCCCACACCCGCAGACCATCCCTTTCGGACACAACGGCATCAAGCAAGCGCAGGCGTCGTTCGCGCTCCTGCGCGTCTGCTACGAAGCCCGGCTCGTGGCCCTCCGCCACCTCCACCGCACCAACACGGTCCGCCACCCGCTGCAGCCCGAGGACCCGACTCCGCGGCCGACGCAGTTCCGCCGCGCCGCGCCCGGCACCGACTTCCGGCGACCGAGCCACCACGACCCGTTCAACCTCGATGCCGACGCCGTCCTCATGCCGATCCGCGACACGGCGCGCGGCCGCAGCTTCCGCGACCCGCGCGTCCGCCACCTCCTCAACACGCGCCACCTCGTCGTCGCCATCACCGAGAAGCCGCGCAAGCTGCAGTGGGAGGAGGCCGGCCGCGGCACCTGGCGCCGCCGCCTCGCGCCCTGCCTGCCCGACGCGCCCTGCCCGCACCCGGCCACCTGGGGCGCGCCCGTCTCGTTCGAGGACACGCGCGTGCCCGAGGACGACCACCTGCTCGGCCACTTTGCCGACCTCGAGACCGTCACCTACGTCTTCCGCCCGTACCGCCTGCGCCGCGCGCGCCGCCGCCAGCCGGCCCCCGTCGTGGGACCGCGCGCCTACGTCGTCTACGCGCGCGACCCGACCGCCGGCTACGCGGACCAGCTGCGCGAGCTCTACGGCAGCGAGGGCCCCGTGCGGACGGCGCGCGTGTGGAACGGCGTGCTGCCGGACTGCTTGGAGGGGGACAGGGTGCATCCCACGGCGCTCGTGCGCATCGGCCGCGTCGTCGACCCGGACGAGTGGAAGGAGACCCTGAGCGAGGCCGCTTGGACGGCGGCGAGGCTTGTCTGGCTCGTCCTGGTCAGGATGCCCGTGTTTGTGCTGCTGAGCCCCTTCGTCTCGGGGTCCGCCGCCTGGGACGTGTGCTTCGTTTCCGGCTGGCTTGGAGAATTGATTTGAGCGTGTGAAGAAAACAAGAGGCCGCAGGCTAAGCGCTGCCGAGGTTGGACAAGAGGACCCAGGATGAACGACGTGATGAGAAACGCAGAATGAACAAGTTGCTCGGACACAAGGGGATTGGTCGATACGAAGCGCAACACAATCGAGAAACCACACAGAAAGATGGCATGAAGACAAGCCTGTAAATTTCAGTAGTAGTAGTACACGTAGAGTGTCGGCATTGGATCCGGAGGCTCTGCCCAGAACCTACAACCTGCTCTTCGAGGCGTCGAGATACGTGCTCCCTAGCTTCAACATGTCCACAGCCTCAGCTACCATCTCGTCAACAATCTCTCCCGCCGGCTGTATCCTCGTGATCAAGCCAGCAACCTGACCCATGAGATGCGGCGGATCAATTTCGTTCCCCTCCTCGAGGTCGTACTCGATCGGCACCGTCCCACTGTCGCACAATGCCTTGACCCTTTCGGGTTGCGCGTGCCACCCGCGAATGTAGTCGTTCGTCTTCATCCTCAGCGGCCGCCCAGACAATACAAGTGTCCTCTCTGTGCCATCGAACCCACACGACACAACCTCGCGCTTGTGCTCCTCGCTGCACCCCGCCTCGACAGAAGCGACAAAGCGTGTGCCAACCCATACGCCAGCGGCGCCCTGCATGAGAGAACTCGCGAGGGAGCGCCCGTCGTAGATGCCGCCCGCGGCAACAACGAGCGCCGGTAGCCCGCCGAGCAACTTGGGACGGTACTTGCGCGCCACGTCGACGACGGCAGGGATGAGCACCGAGTTGGCAACGTCACCCGTGTGGCCGCCGCCCTCGCCACCCTGCGCGCAGATGAGGTCGACGCCGAGGTCGAGCGCCTTGACGGCATGCTTCGGGTGCCCGACCATGTTCATGATCAGGATGCCGGCATCTTGCAGCCGGTCGATAACGTGCTTGGGCGGCACGCCGACGGCACTGACAAAAAGCTTGGCGCCGGACTCGATGGTGATGTCGATGAGCTCGTCGAGCTTACCGCCGGTGTAGTCGTGGTTCGTCTTGCGAGCGTTGCCGCCAATCTGGGGTAGAGCAAGGTCGACACCAAAGGGGAGGGAGGGGTCAGTGAGATGAGCCTTGAGTTCGGCCACAATCTCGCGAAGCTGGTCGGGTGTGTACATGAAGCCGCCGATGACACCCAGGCCGCCGGCGTTGGACACGGCAGCGGCAAGGCGGCCGCCTGACGTGCGAGCCATGCCGGCGAGAAGTATGGGGTGCGAGACGCCCAGGAGAGTCGTCAAGGGTGTTGTGATGGGTGCCATGGTGATGATGCCTCGCTGCGGTGAGAGGGAGAGTACAAGTCGTGACGGCGTGTTGATGATGAGGTCAGGATTGGCGGACCAAACAATATATGCAAGTCGCGGGGAAAAGCCGTCTGAAGAGTCGATGCCAGCATGCACATATGTATGTGGTTGAACTCTAGTGGCGATCTGGGGTCGAGCTTTACAGGGGGCACATCTCCAACAGCTGATGATGCGGGGGAGTCCTCGGGGGGCGCGCGACCTCGGCATTTCCGTGTGCGGACACCAGCTCGCCGTCTTGGCCACCCAAGCTCCCTAGTTTCCCCAGGTTGATCGCTAGATCAGTGCTCGCCGTTGGGGTCGGCGTCACATCTTGCACGCACTCCGTCGGCACGCTCCCGAGCCAACGGCGAGATGGCGCGTTGGCCAGTGGTGTTTTCTTGTTGATCGTCAGTTATCCGCGAAGCATCTCTGCTGTTGCAATCGTGCTGAGTGAGATATGGAGGTTCGCCAAGGCGACGCTTTTCATCGTCAAAACAAAGTTCGGTAGATTAAAATCGTTGAGCTGATTGCCCTGCAATGTATCAATTCGAACAAGCCGTGGTATCGTAACTGACGTGACGCTCATGGCCCAACGCTTCGTCTCTCGTCCTTCGTTATCATGGCGTGCTGTGAATTGCCAGATCTCCTAGATGAATTGACAATCGCTCGAAGTACCTTCATCATCTGAACCGCGGCAGCCGAGCAGGAACGAATTCTTCGCCTCCAAGCTGGCCTCCATCTGTGAAGGTCAGGAAGCCTCCAGGTGGCCGACCGCCAGGCAACGGACCGTCGTCGTCTTCCGAAGACGTTGGCTGTTCACCACCCTTGGACGCTGTCGGCTGTACTATATCCGCTTCGTCACTCACTGTAGGCTTATCCTCTTTGACGGCCTCATTTGCTTCACCCACGCCCCGCAGACCCTTCTCTATTGCAAGCGCAAGGGCTCTCCTGCGCTTCGTCTCCACCTCGGCGTCCTCCTCCTCGCGCATCTGATCCTCTTCTCGCTGTAAATCCTCCATAGACTGCACGCGGTTCAACTCCGGGGTCACTGGTGTACTCCCCGAGCTGTGTCGCGGTCCAGGCGTGCTTGCTCGCGTGCGAATCGAGTCAATAGTCGCTCGAGACACGGTTCGTGACATGCCGCTGACGGGCCTCTTGCCTTTGCTGCTTCGCCTCGTCTTGCCGCTGCTGCGATCATCGCCTGTATTGACGCGGGATAAGACCATTGAAAACTCGTCGTCCAACGGCACAGCATCCTCCTCGCCTTCGCCATCGCTCGGGAACAGGTCCCCTCTTGAACGATACGAGTCTGATGTGTCGCCCGACCCAGTCGTTCCGCTGCGTTTCCTACCGGCAGCGACAGTCCGCTCAGGCTGATACGCCTGCCCGTCATATTCTGATCCTTCACCGCCCTCGTCCAGCAATGGCTCAGCCTCACCCATGCCCAAAACTTCGTGCTGCCCGGGATGATCTTGCAGATCCGCCGCGCTGGGCTTGTATCGTAACGTCTTGCCCATCTTCCACGGCAGCTTGCTCAGGAAGCCTAGCGGCTGTGTACTCGGTATAATGGTCGGATCCAGCTCGCCGCTCGCCTTGCGCCGCCCAGCACCACGTGTACCGTAGCTCATGCCCCTCTTTCGCTTCGGCTGCTCCTGCTGTACCCCTTCGCCGTCTGCACCGCCGTGCCGTCTCTGGGACCCTGTGCCCGCCAGCAGCCGGTCCCAGTCGGCGATGCTCCAGCCTCCGTCACCGGCGCCAGCGCCTCCCAGCGCGGTAGAATCATCGCCACCGCTGCCCAGCAGCCCATCGTCGGCGTACCAGTCGTCGTAAAAGTCAAAACTGTATTCAGCGGCGCGGCGGTCAGCCTCGCGACGCCGGCGAGCGCGCTCCTCAAGGTCACCAAGGCAAGGGGCGGCGCAGGCATCGATGGCGTTGCCGAGGGAGGCGAGGCACGGGTTGAGGTAGTGGTGCTGGAAGGACCAGATGCCAGCAGCTGCGTTCTCGGTGACTTCGCCTGTCGTGTGGGAGATTTGGTTCCAGCGCTGGCGCAATCGGGGGTCCTCGAGAAAGTCCATTGTGACGGTCACCCGCGGGGAGGATGACTGTTATGTGTAGAGGAGATGGTAGATCGAGAGCGTGCGAAGGGAGGGTGGCAGTTGAATGACGTCGCTAGCTCCCTTCAGGTAACCTATTCGCATCGGGCAGCCGTCGCAGTCCCAAGCCGAGTTGCTCAACGGTCGTGACGAGGGCGAGTAGGGTGCGCGGCCGTAGCCTATGCCGGCTCAATGGCCATGCGCGGAGTGTGATGCGGAATCGAATGGACGAGACATTGACTTGAGAGGAATTGGAGAGTTGATGCTGACGGGAGCCTGGTCTTGTCGTGTATGCGTCTGAGACGGGATCTGAGAAGATGATTCCAGGCAAGGTCAAGCGGCAAGCCAAGGCAAGAGCACTCGGCGGGTGGTTGGCGTTTAAGCGGGCGGGGCCTTCTCCCCCCAACATTCCCCAACCGCCCGCCGCCCGTTCCACCACAAACAAAGTGGGAAGAGCTCTCGACCCTGCAGCTGCCGTACGTACGTACATGTACAGATTACAGATGCAGAGATGCTCTTTCCCCACCGCTCGATCCAACGTCGCAGCGCCATTCGTTGGTCGGAACACTGCGATTCTCAGTCACTTGGACGCGATCCGAGTCATCAGCCATGATCCGTGCTTGACTTTACAAACCTAAGGTAGAGTGTCGAACTTTATCCTACTCGTTCGTCGTGCTGCTGTAACCTGGACGATGGGGTGGGCAACAAGAAAAAAAAAAAAAAAACCCCCAAGGTCAGCAGACTGCAGATTCCACACAATCACACATCAGAAGCAATACTGTAGACATTCCCGCTAGCACTACACTATCGCTATCGCTGTTCAGAGCCGAGAGATCCTAAACAACACAGGGACAGCCCGGTATCCAGGCCGCACTTTTCCTCGCCCAAGATCACGCCTCAGCGCGGCTCGTATACCACGAGAAGCGAAAGCGGCAGCAAGACCTAGCCCGAGATGACAAGCCGGCCAGACCACGACCGGGGCCGCCGAAAATGGCTGCAGCAAAAGAGTGTGCTACAGCCCCCATCGCGTGAACCGCGTGAGGCGGGATAGCAGCCGTGTTCGCCGTCTCTCCGGAGCGTCGTGGTCCTCAAGCGTGCCTGTGACGCCGACGACGTCGACGTCGAAATGATAGGAGCCTGGCATCGTTCTGCTTGGGTGCTGGATACTACTGGCCAACTCGCGATCCCCGACCGCCATTTCTGGCATCGAGTGAGACCGGCTGCTCGCGTCAAGGCCCACAACTGCCGGCGTATCGTCCCGTTGCACATCCAGCTTGCTCTCGCAAGTGTCGACGAGCGCGGCGGGCGATACTGGTACCGTCTTGAAGCTAGCCCCTGAAGTGCGGCGTGCAGACTCCTCCTAGTGCCCGTTCGTCGCGGCTTGGGGGGCCGATACGGGCGGACGTTCGGGGCCATAAGGACGTGGCGGCACGTCATCGGCGGCTTGCGGCTCTTCCTCCGTGTCGTCATCAAACTCCTCGCTTTGCTCATCATCGTCGCCCTCGTCAGAATAGTCGCTTCCGTCCCCATCCACCTGCCCGTTACTGTCCGAGTAGCAGCTCTCCAGCGTGGCCGCCATGCCCGGAGGTACTTTGCGGCCTTGCTGCTGCATCTGCTCAATGATGCTGATAAGTTTGCCCGTCTTCTTGGTTGCTTCGGCCGTTTTGGTCCGCATGGCCTCGCGCTCCTCCGCCATGGAGATAATGTTGGCATTCGTCGCCTCGTGTTTGCGCTTCATCGTCTCGTTCTCCTTCTCCAGCCGCTTCGTCTTCTTAGACATCTCCTCCATTTCCTTCCGAAACGTGAGAAATAGATCGTTACTGTTGTTGAGTGTGTCCTCAACCTTGGCCGATTAGCCTGGGGGGATCTGGGCCGAGGGACTGGCAAACCCTCCACACATACCTGCTTAAACTTGTCCACGTAAACGTTGAGCTGATTCCTCAGTTCTGTCTCCGTCTTGGTGAAGGTCCGGACCTGCTCCTGGAGTTGGCGCGCCTTGGCAGCTTCGGCTTCCGCGTTCTTCTTCTCACGCTCGTACCGTGCCATGTGGTATTGCACCTCGAGCTCTTTGGTGCGCATCTGCGAGTGGAAATGCAGCTCCCGGAGCTCGTACTGCTCAATAAAGGACTTGAAACGGTTCCTGAACAGCGTCTCGACGCCTATCTCTACAACCTGCTTGCGAGGATGGTCCTTTTCTTCCTGTATGCCCTCGAGTTTGGACAGTAATATCGAATACTTCTCATCGTAGGATGCGCTATTGTGCTTGAGGTTGTCCTGGAAGGTTTTGTTGTCGTTCTGCCATTGTTAGTCCCTGCGCAGTTCGTGACCATCATCCTGAGTCCCCGCAGGCTGCGCACCTTGTACTTGTTGTTGTCCTTCTGCAGCTCACGACACAGCTTCTCCAACTTGTCCTTGAGGCCGACCGTCTTGCTGAGCTCGGTGCGGTTCGCATCCTTCTCCTTTTGAAGGGCGTCGCCCCGCTTCTTATTCTTCTGGTTCTCCCGCTCCATGCGTCGCATATCGGCCAGGAGCTCGCTGGATTTGCGCGTAAGGTGCTCAATTTTGGCCATGTCGGTCATCTTGGATACCTGCAGCATCATCTCCCGGCTTGCCTTCTTGACCTCGCGCTCTGTGACGGCACCGTCAGCCACTTAAGTCACCGACAGCGCCCACCAGCCAAGATGCCGGCCGCGTTCCCCCCCAAAAAGAAGACACGGGATGCCAACTCACCAATCTCGGCCTCCTGATCCTTTTCACCGGCAGCATCCTGCTCCAGCTGCGCAATGCGATGCTTAAGCAGCTTCGACGCGTTCATGTCTACGGGTTTCTTGGCCTTTGTCTTCCTCGCGTAGCCGGCGACACCTGGCGGGATAGCTCCGTCTTGCCCGTTTGGCAAAGTCGAATCAGGCGAGCTAGCTGGCATCGCTGAGGGGGCGAGAGCGTGTGTGTGTGTGTGTTTGAGCGACGGACGTCGTGTTCACGAGGGCGGGTCCTGCATGCGTCCAGCGACGAGGGTGGGGAGGCTGAATTGTCAGCAGTGCAGACGTCGCGCGGATCTGGCCGTTCGGCTTCGTTCGCAAGAGCGAGTGTAGTTGCGAACAATAGTCGAGGCGGAGTCCCAGCGGTGGGTTTTTTCGAGGCTGTCGTCGTCCGGGTAGTCCTGAGTCAGGCTGAGGGTGCGTTGTCGACTAAGGGGAAGAGCATTCGCATTAGAAATGGAATGCAATGCAAAAGCAACGTCCACACAGGAGTGGATGTATGCTGCTTCGGGAGGGGAGGGGATGGGTTATTACGTTGGGCTCTCTTCCAAGGTGTCCTTATTGATTCCTTCAAGAATTATGTTCCGGTCTAGGGGTCCTGCATGTCTGTGGTCCCGTCCTGTCGCGATCTGGGGGAGGGCCAACACGAAGGAAGAGGAGATTGACGATGAATGGCTGTGGATGGCGAGGACTCGATTCAGAAATTATCGGCTTAAGCAATGATGACCCAGTGGGCTGGGGATTACGGAGGTCGTATCACGGTCTTGTCCTTTGGTCATTGAATCCGAACGAGGCCTCACATTGGCTCCTCGAGCATGGATCGGGCCAGGCAGATGGGGGTGAGACCCGATAATGCGTTGGCCAGAGACTAGTAGCCCGATAGAAGCACATGTGGCTTGTGCATTGCATCAAAGCATCCTCGCCCTGGCCTGCCGATGACGAATGAATGCACGGCATTATGTGTTGGGGTGGACCTTCTCTGTCTAACTGCCAGAGAAAATTTGGGAATTGCCTCTTGCGAGGCTCCACTGTGGCTCAGGGCCTGTCGGTTACGTACCATCGAAGAAACCGCCCGAAGGTCCGAAGTCTGGATGATTCATCCTCGCCCTGTACATGTACACTAGAACCCCTGTCACTATATCGTTCTGTCTGGAGAACCATGCTGCTGCTGCGTGTTTGAGATCTCTCCATCCTTCCAACATACGCACCATCACCATGCTGCGCAACACGGCCAAGAACGCGGCTAGCGTTGCTAGCACAGCTCGCGCAGCTGTCACCGAGCTCGCACAGTACCCCAAGGCCGGCGAGAAGCTTCACGGCTTCACCTTGCTGCGGTCCAAGCATGTGCCTGAGCTCAAGCTGACGGCCCTGCACCTCCAGCACGACAAGACTGGCGCCGATTACCTCCATATCGCCCGAGACGACAGCAACAATGTCTTCTCCATCGGCTTCAAGACGAACCCGCCGGACGACACTGGTGTGCCTCACATCCTCGAGCACACAACGCTCTGTGGTAGCCAGAAGTATGTTTTTCGAGAGCTCTAGAGAATCTTTCGAGTCTCCCAAGCTGACACTCACAAGATACCCCATCCGCGATCCCTTCTTCAAGATGCTTCCGCGAACTCTTTCCAACTTCATGAACGCCTTTACCGCATCCGATCATACATTCTACCCGTACTCGACGACAAATGCGCAAGACTTCAAGAACCTCATGTCTGTCTACATGGACGCCACGCTCCACCCGCTGCTTAAAAAGACCGACTTTACCCAGGAAGGTTGGAGAATAGGGCCCGAGAATCCCCAGGCGATGCAAACTGCCGAGGCCACCCCCGAGGACAGCAAGCTCGTCTTCAAGGGCGTTGTCTACAACGAGATGAAGGGTCAGATGTCCGATGCCGGGTATCTGTTCTACATTCGTTTCCAGGACAGGATATTCCCCGACATTAACAACTCCGGTGGCGACCCGCAGAAGATCACCGACCTGACGTACGAGCAACTTTCCTCATTCCACGCGCAGCACTACCATCCCAGCAACGCCAAGCTCTTCACCTACGGCGACATGCCTCTAGCTGATCATTTGCAAGAGGTTGATGCGCGCTTGAAGGTGTTCGACCGGATCGCCGAGGACACACTTGTTCACAGCCCCATCGATCTCAGCAACGGGCCGCAGGAGCACATTGTCGAGGGACCCCTGGATCCCCTGGTTGCCGCGGACAAGCAGTTCAAGACGTCCGTCTCCTGGGTTATGGGAGAGACTTCGGACGTTGTTGAGACATTCTCGCTGTCGCTGCTCTCAACCTTGCTTATGGACGGCTACGGCTCTCCTCTTTACAGGGGCTTGATCGAATCGGGTCTCGGTACCGATTTTAGCCCCAACGCTGGCTACGATGGTTCTGGCAAGCTGGGCATCTACTCTGTTGGGTTGACGGGCGTTCAGGAGGCCGACGTCCCCAAGTTGAAGGCTGAGATTCAGCGTATCCTCAAGGAGGCCCGCCAGAACGGGTTCGACCGCACCAAAATCGACGGCTCTCTGCACCAGCTCGAATTGGCACTGAAGCACAAGACTGCCAACTTTGGCATGTCTCTGCTCCACAGGCTCAAGCCCAAGTGGTTCACCGGAGTCGATCCCTTCGATTCGCTCGCCTGGAGTGATACCATCTCGGCATTCGAGGCCCGACTGGCTAAAGGCGACTACCTTGAGGGGCTGATCGACAAGTACTTGTTGAATGACAACACCTTGACATTCACCATGACACCTTCAGCTACTTTCAGCGAAGACCTCGCTGCCGAGGAGAAGACGAGGCTGGCCTCAAAGATCGAGGAAGCGACGAAGAAGGCGGGAGGCGAGGCCGAAGCGCGTAAGCAGTTCGAAGAGCGCGAGCTGGAGCTGCTTGTCGAGCAGGGCAAGTCGAACACCGAGGACCTCTCCTGCCTGCCCACCGTCCACGTCAAGGACATCCCTAGGAGCAAGGAGCCGGTCGTGGTGCGCGATGACAGCACGAATGGCGTCAAGACGCAGTGGCACGAGGCCCCGACCAACGGCCTCACCTACTTCCGCGCCGTCAACACGATCGAAAACCTCCCCGACGAGCTGAGAGAGCTGATCCCCCTGTTCACGGACAGCATCATGCGCTTGGGTACCAAGGACACGTCTATGGAGCAGCTGGAAGACCTGATGAAGCTCAAGACTGGCGGCATGTCGGTCGGCTACCACTCCACCCCTTCGCCTACTGACTTCCAGCACGCTACCGAGGGGTTCATCTTCGCAGGCATGGCACTGGACCGAAATGTCCCTGCCATGTTCGATCTTCTGCGTAAGCTGATCCAGGAAACTGACTTTGACAGTCCTGAGGCCGGTCAAAGGATCAGGCAACTCCTACAAGCTTCGGCAGACGGTGTCGTAAATGACATCGCCTCGTCCGGTCACCAATTCGCGCGTGGGGTTGCCGAATCTGGTCTGACGCGTAACGCTTGGCTCCGGCAGCAGATTGGCGGCCTCTCCCAGGTGAAGCTTGTTACTTCGCTGGCCAACCGTCCCGAGTCGGATGGGCTGGTTGATGTGATCGACAAGCTCAAGAAGATCCAGCAGCTCGCTCTGGCCGGCGGAAACATGCGCACGGCTCTGACCTGCGGCTCTGAGAGCGTGGGAGCCAACACGTCGGCCCTGGGCAAGTTCTTGTCGTCCGTGCCCAAGAGCACCGTGTCCCTGCCGGCAACGCAGCCAACAAGCTTTGCCCGGGATGCCAAGTCGTTCTACCCCCTGCCTTACCAGGTGTACTATGGCTCGCTTGCCCTGCCCACCACCTCGTACACTTCGGCCGAGGGTGCGCCGCTGCAGGTGCTGGCCCAGCTGCTTACCCACAAGCACCTCCATCACGAGATTCGCGAAAAGGGCGGCGCGTACGGCGGTGGAGCGTACTCGCGCGCCCTCGACGGCCTCTTCGGCTTCTACTCATACCGCGACCCCAACCCGCAAAACACGCTCTCCATTATGCGTGGCGCCGGGCAGTGGGCGGTTGACAAGTCGTGGGCCGACAGGGATCTCGAGGAGGCCAAACTATCCATCTTCCAGAGCGTGGACGCGCCCCGCTCGGTCAACGAGGAGGGCATGGGCCGTTTCCTGTCTGGCATCACCGACGAGATGAAGCAGACGCGCCGCGAGCAGCTGCTCGACGTGACGAAGGAGCAGGTCCGCGCCGTGGCGCAGAAGTACCTCGTCGACGGCCTCAAGAAGGAGGAGGAGCGGGTGGCCTTCCTCGGCGAGAAGAGAGCTTGGGTTGACGGATCCTGGAAGGTCCAAGAGATGGACATCCAGGGAGCCGAGGAGCTCAACTAAAGAACAGGCGACGACTGGCGGCTTTCAGCCAGAGAGGACCAATCGAGTCCCTCTGACGGCTTTGTACCATCTTGTACCCAATTACTGTACCATCATCATGGCCCCGCCCCAAGAATAATACCCCTTCTCCGAGTGCTGGGACTCTTGGAGGCTCTCTCCTCTGCTCTCTCCGTGAAATGATGAAAGCTACGCGTTTCTATACGATACGTCTTCCTGCCCATTCTACTCCATGGCAAAGAGACCACAGCAAAACGCAATATCAAACCGCAAGGGCGCCTGGGGGCAGGCGGCCTCTCCTGGCTCGCAAGTGCTGGGAGGTGCCGCCGCAACCGGCGCGCTCGCCTTTTCAGACCTGAGGTCCCCAGTCTTGGACCGTCAGACTAAGTGGCAGAGTACACAATAGGTGCCCATGACACCAGTGAATTCTTTTTCGACGGGACAACGCGATGACCGCTGGAAGTGAGGCGCACACGCATGACCATGTAGGCACGCTGGATGGCACGGTGAGACGTCAGTATCTGCGTTGACGGATGTCCCCACTAGTACCGTAGACGGCTCCGTTTAAATCGAAAAGACTAAGGTACTTAGGTAGGTACGTACTTACTCAAATAAGAAAACGGACTGGCCGAACGTAAGGAACGGACGTGCCCCGCATACGTCACAACCCCGCCACGCCAATTCGCAATTCATGGAAGCGGTGCGCAAGTGCAATGCAGCCTTTTGCACACGGGCGGATCCCCATTTTCTGAGCTCGTCTGGCGGAGCATCCCGGGCCCAGCTGTCATGGAGAATTGTCGATGAGGGCCACGGTGCCCGATGGCCGGGGGACCGAGGTGGGTGCGAGTCTGAGAGTGTGGCCTTGACTTGTGTGCGATGGGCAGCCCTCCTGCTCCCCTCCCTCCCTTTCCCCCTGACAGTGCTCTGCATGTGCAAGAACCGGGAAAGACAGCCGGTCGGAAAGATCCACGACGGGCACGACCGTGGAAGAGGCGGGGAGGGAGGAAGCCTCGAGCAGGCAGGACAGCGCAGAGACAGGTCTGAGCAGCTCCCAAAAGGAGGGTGGACAGGCTGTTCCGGGGAGACGTCCGGATGGGTGATTTGTCCTGTCTGATGGAGATGAGGGAATTTCACAGTATTACATGGTGTTGAGGCGCAGAGAGAGACTGGCGGTCTGGCGACGAGGTTCGAGCTTCTGGAGCTCTTGCAGGTCGAGCGAAAGCTTCCCTGGTCAGATGCGGCAGGGCGGCCTCCTGGGCGGTTCCATCGTACTGTTTTGTTTATTGGTTGTGACCAACCTGCTCGAGTTGCGGTCTGGAGGATGGAAGAGTAGGGCGCCATTTCGGATGCACATGATAGGAGCCGCTGCTGCAGATGCTGTCTCGCCGTATCCCGTCTGGGAGATCGAGGGCATCCTTGGCGGCTCTGCGAGAGGTCGATCACGATGTGCAAAGCCCTCGACCTTGTGTCTCTCTGTCAGGTACCGTTTCGCGATGCATGGCTGAGTACGTACCTATACTGTACTCGCCAGTGGAGTGACGACGGCGACGGTCGAGAACCGTCTGGGTCCTGGTGGGCTGTAAGAGGGTTGGCACGCATCATGAAAAACAGATAATTGGGTACCGGCACACGACCGATCGACCCGAAGGGGCCTAGCAGGCGGGTAACGCTCCGTCATTGGAGGGGCTGAGACGTGGTACCTTGGGCGGACGCGAACTCTTTCCTGGCAGGCGCAACAGAGACAAGGGGGAAACAGGGGGGAGGGGGGGGGAAGGAGCATACGGCCTTGGGCAGGCACACCCCCGGCGCCAGGCCTTGAAGAGTTTTAGCCCTGCCTGGCGGTACCACGACGAGCTGCGCTGACCTAAGAGAATTTCCTGATACCGAATAAAAACCTCCCGCCTCCTGCCACCCCACCACGACCTCGACCCGGCTGGCTCTTGTGCTCGACCAAAACACCTCGTTTTTGAGCTCACCACGCTTCCAACACTTTCTCGCCTCATCAATCGCACCGCAGCTGTCCCAGCTTTCGAGGTGCTTCCCGCAAACAAAACCTTTTGGGTAAGTCTGAGCGTTCTGCGTTACACACGAGGCGTGAATATTCGGTACACGACGGCACGCCTGGCTGGAAAGGCTTGGCACGAAAGGACAGGTGTATTGGGCCACAGCGAGCGGATGACTCTGAAGATACCACCTTCGCCTCCCGGAAGCCTCCCACAGTCTGCCTGTCACGTAGCGCCAGAATCTCCCCAATACGCGCCAGAATCATCATCGGAGACCTTGTTTTTTCTTCCATGACAGACCACGCCACTTCAAGAGTACCAAGACTGACAAAAGTGTGGGTGTCCAGATCTTCGACAGTACGGAGATTTCTCCCCTTGAAACCCCGACTCGCCTTTGGTCGTCTCAAAGGCAACAGGCGCACCACGGCTCCCGCAGCCGTCAGCTTCGTCAGTGATCAAGATTTCAGCGTTCGGAAGTCTTTCCACATCACCAACAACATCCCCCCTCCCGCCCCTGCGCACGCCTAAGCAAAAACTCGAATTCTTCCTGTTCGACGTTCTGTTTCAACAGACGCCTCCCGTCGACTCTACACCCGATCAGCTGCCGCATAGGACGCACTCGGAGCCTCTTCCTCTCGTCGAGGGAGAGTCGAGGAGAACTCGCCAGATCGCTGAGGGATCTGCCTGCTACCGCTTCCGGCCACCCTAGGACCCGCTTGACCGTCCGGCTTCAACACCACCAGACAAGTTAACCGCTCGTCCTTGACCCAACCAGTCAACTTCACGGATATGGTTATGGCAACTGTCGCTCTTGAGCAATATGCCCCGCCTACCATCAATTATGATCGTAGCTACCACACAATCCTGAAGACGAAGCAGCAATACGCTGATCACGCCCCCACCAACAATGTCGTGATCACGCCCAAGCAGCTCATCGGCGAGGCTCTCCGCCGCCGTGTCGAGAGCATCGACACGGAGTCCTGCGGAGCCGGCGAAGAGGACACCTTCTTCGTTGCCGACCTCGGCGAGGTCTACCGCCAGCACATGCGCTGGAAGCTCAACTTGCCTCGCGTCAAGCCCTTCTATGCCGTCAAGTGCAACCCCGACCCCCGCGTCATCGAGCTCCTGGCTGCCCTCGGCACCGGCTTTGACTGCGCCTCCAAGTGGGAGATCGACCAGATCCTCAACATGGGCCTCGCCCCCGAGCGCATCATTTACGCCCAACCCTGCAAGACCAACTCGTACCTCCGCTACGTCAAGACCCAGGGCGTCAAGCAGATGACCTTTGACAATGCCGATGAGCTCTACAAGATTGCAAAGCTCTACCCCGGCGCCGAGCTCTTCCTCCGCATCATGACCGACGACGAGTCCAGCCTGTGCCGCTTCAGCATGAAGTTCGGTGCTTCCAAGGAGATCGCGGGAGAGCTCCTCGCTCTCGCCAAGGACCTGGGTCTCAACGTTGTCGGCGTCAGCTTCCACGTTGGCTCGGGTGCCTCTGACCCCATGGCCTTCTACAAGGCTGTCCACGACTCGTACCTAGTGTTCGAGCAGGGACGCGCCTTTGGCTTCAACATGAAGACGCTCGACATTGGCGGCGGCTTCTGCGACGACAGTTTCGAAGACATGGCGGCCGTCCTTCGTGGCGCTCTCGACGAGTACTTCCCTCCCAGCAGCAACGTCAACATCATGGCGGAGCCCGGTCGCTACTACGTGTCTTCGGCCTTCACCATTGCCTGCAACGTCATTGCCCGCCGCACCGTTGATGGTCCTACGCCTGCCGACGACAAGAGCTACATGATCTATGTCAATGATGGTCTCTACGGAAACTTCTCTTCCATCATGTTCGACCACCAGCACCCCGTTGCCAAGGTCCTCCGCACCAGCGCGCGTACTCTCTTCGATCACCCTGCCGCCAACGCCTGTCCCGAAGGCCAGGGAACCCGTTACTCTGTTTGGGGCCCTACCTGCGACGGCATTGATCGCATTACCGAGAGCATCTCCTTCGAACACGAACTCGATGTTGGCGACTGGCTCTACTTTGAGGACATGGGCGCCTACACCAAGTGCTCTGCCACCAAGTTCAACGGCTTCTCCGACGACCACGACGTAATTTACGTCTGCAGCGAGCCGGGCGCCCGTGCTCTGCTTGGCCTTTGAAGCGCCGCCCAGCACCGCATGTTGTCCCTGGACGAGGGACCTTTCCTTGCTTGTCTGCTCGCGTTGAAAACATGGTATCCTCGAAAGAAAAGAAAAAAAGAAGAATGGACTGAGAGAGCAAAGGCCCACAGTACCACCGTACAATTAGACTCATTCTCCTTGTTTTCTTCCCCCAGCTGCTGCACTGGGGTTATCATTCTGCTAGACCTGTTGAAGAACAGAATACAAACTTATCGGGCCAATTGCGACTTTTCCCTGATGCTTGACCTCGTGTACCTGCCTGTCTACTTCGTGGACCTTCGTTGCGGTATGAGCGGCCGCAAATGTAGTTGATCCTAGTTACGACATTGTTGTCTGGTAGTTGCTTGCCAGGTCGGCGCCAATGAGAAAGTCGAAAGCTCACATGACAATATACCCAGCGAAAACCACACGCAAACATCCGCGGCGAACAGTATGAATACAGAGCTCACGCTTGAAGTATTTCTATTCATCATCTGGTCGATATGCTTCATCTCTGAACACTGGCTGGCTCCCCCGCCAACCACGTACCTAGTCTCCATGTGACAGTGACCAAGCCGTTGCGTCACCGTCTCTATCGTGCAACGCCCTCCCTTTCCTGACCCTCGAGCGTGTTGCAGCCCGTCTATCTGCGCCCCGTGTTGCTTTTTTCAAAGCACAATGAAGATCCGACCCTCCAGTCCCAGTCCCATGTTGTGCCGCCGTTTTGTTCCCCACCTCTCCCTTCCAACCGTTGGGCCATTTGTCAGGTTGACAATGGCTCCCTCTCCTCTATGCTCGCGTTCTACTGGGACTCCGGTCCCTTCGAGGCTTCGCCAGAGATTTGGCTGTGGCTGTGTCGTACCCGATTACGTGCATGAGGTATGCCATCCTGTGGTTAATTAGCATGATGCGCATCATCTCAGTGGGCCAAACACAAGCGAAACTCACTTTTCGTTGTTCTCCTCCCTCGCCCGGAGGTCTTCGAAACGAACCTGACAGTCCATCCATGCGACGGCCCGATCTCTGGGATCAATCCGCTTTACGGTGAATCTGAACCGTCCTGTCACAGGCCGATGATCTGATACGCGAACCTCGTGACGCACGTAGTCAAGCTGCTTGATGCGCCCTCGGCCACGGTACAGCAATCGGTCGCACCACGCAGGTGAACGCCGCTTCTCGCTCGTGTCGTAATCGTCCGTGCCCACATCATACTTGTACGTTGGGGCAAATTTGATCGGCAACTCCTCGAAAGCTCGGAGACGGAAACCAGGGTTACGCCGCCTGGCTACGAGAAGCTGATCTCGTTCCAGTAGCTTGGCTAAGTTGTTCTGCTTGACTGCCATCACGACCGTGTCCCGTGACATGGTGTCGATGCGATAGTTGAGATCCCCGTTCAACACACAAAGTTCGTGGTCCAAAATTAAGGTTCCGTCGCCGCCGCCAGTGTAACTGTCGATACGTTTGTTGGGATCCCGTTCAGCTGGTAGAAGCGGTGTTTCCAGGATGGCAGCGATGTCATTATGCCGGCTGTTCGCCTGTGATTGACCGGCAGCTAGATGGCAGTTGATGAAGCACATGGAAGTATCGTCAACAAGGAAGCGAACGACAATGGCGCCCTTGTTCCCATGGAGGCCGCCCATACCACGCTTGACCTCCGAAGCACTCAAGTTACGGATCCGATCTCGAAGTGAGGATTTCACGAAAATGCAAGTGAAGAGGCCGACGAGCGTGGCTGTGTGAAGCAAGTGATACAGGTCATGCCGGGGCATGTGGTCGTCAAGGCTCTTCATCAGGAAATCACGCCAGTCTCGGTACTGGTGGCTCATTCGCTCCTGGTCTGATCCTTCCTTCTTCTTGGACTTGAAGAACCGCTCTACTCTATGTTAGATGATGGTTAAATCGAGCAAGTCAGAATGCACTTACTGGCGGTAGCAGTCTTGTCCTCGAGATCGACAAGTTCTTGGAACCCGAATATCAATATGTCGGGCGAATCGCTCGACTGAAGCAGATTGCGGATAAAGGTAGCGTCTTGGTCCGCGTAACGAAGACTATGAGGAGTGGATGCACCAGCATTCCAAGTCATGACCAAAGCTTTGATGTCTTCAAAGTCGCAGTACTGAGCTTCATGCGCCTTCATCTCGTCCTCTTGCCAATCTTCCTGTAGCAATCCATCCCATACGCGGATGACGTTGTCAGCCCCGAGGGAAATAACCTGCAGTCGATCTATCCTGTAGCAACTGGAAGGGTCGGAGATGATTTTGACGACAGGGTTTTCATGTGCCTGCCACTCCTTTTTGATCGTCCATGGGGTCTGGCTGATATCGTAAACGGATATCTTGCCGTTGTTGAAACCAGCCCAGATGTAATCACCGACGCCCGTCAACGAGTTGATCTTGTACCCGCTGATACTCAGTACCGCAAGACAAGAAAAGTCCTTGGTGTTATAGATGCTGACTTTGCCGTCGATGTGCCCGAAGAAAGCTCTCGTCGGATGTGTCCGCATCAGCGTCCCGGAAGTGACCTCCCCAGCACTGTCTTGCACGAGTGGCCGAATCAGGACTTGAAACTGTGTCTCGCCCTCGAGAGTAGGTGCAAAGATCCGGATCTCCTTGCCCGTTGCATGCCAGAGAAGGTCACCTACAACCATCGAGAACGCGTGAGTCCTGGGAAGTCGATAGGTCTGGTGCGGGTTCCCATTGAGATTTGGCGTGTGGTCCTCATCCGGACCCCAAATAGCAAGCGTGCCGCTCTCATCCAGTGTCCACAGCTCGTTGTAATGCCGATAAATTTTGATAACCTCATGTCGTGCATGGGCTGTAGCCTTTTTGGCTACGATAGATTGTGTGGCAATGTCGGCTTCCATGACCTCTCCCATGTTTGTTCCTATCCACAGCCGTTGACCTTCTTCGTCAACGTTGGAGCCTGGTTTGAACGCGATGGATGTAGCTTTGACGCCTTCGCCGTGTGCAAAACTCATGAGGAGCTCGCCGTCGCGAAGACTCCAGACTCGGGTGAGCAGGCCTGTAGTACAAACAAGATCTCCGCAGACATCAAACACACGTGTGTCATACTTAGTAGGTACCTCGTGCACACCTTGCTTGACCGAAGGGGCTCTTCGATTTGTATTAGAGGGATCGGGATAGGTGGAGCCTGGGTTGACGCCGTCTGATTTCGTAATAGGCGGCTGAGCAGCGGGATTGGAGGTAGAAGGAAGGGCAGACGATGCCTGAGCAGGGGCAGAAGTGCGAATAGATCGCACGTCAGGCGGAGCGCTCCTATCAAGGGACCTGTCAACAACGGTATTTGATCGTCCAGGTACCCGAGTTGGGGGCGGAAGGACGCCCGTAGTTGGCGTAGAGACTATACGCTTCGGAAGCGTTGCTGCTTCCTGCGTAGGAACCATAGCGGAGCCCTGCCTCGCTGGCCGTGGTGGAGGCATCATCGACGTGGAGGTCAAGGGCGCAGGTCGAGGCGGTGGCTCGATCTGTGATAATGGCCGTGTCGGAAGCGCTGGTTTTGTTTCGTTGACATGCGGAGAAGCCATCTGTTCCCTCATGCCCATATCATTGTCGCGTTGACGCTTAGTCACGAGTGAATGGTGAAGAGGAGGTGGCTCGAACCCTAGGTCTAGCTTTCTGGGTCGTAATACATCTGTCTGCGCAACATGAGGTCTGGGCCTTGAAGGTAATGGAGGTGTGTCCCCGCCAGGACTTCCCGGGCTGCTGGGCGGACTATTGAACGGAGAAGTCTCTTGCGGCTGTCGCCTCGGTTCTGGCAATCGTATCGGATCTGCAAAAACTGATGTCCGCCGTTGTGCAGGAATCAGGGGCTTCTCGTTTCGGCTGATCGGCGGTGGGGGCTTTTCCCTACGCATCTCTCCGGACCTCCTGGGCGGAGGCGGCGATGGTGGTCGCGAAGCAGTGAGCATAGGCGACTTCCGAGGCTCGAGTGTGGGCGTAGAGGTGCGGCTTGGTATTTTGAAGGAACGTGAGGGTACGGACGGAGTCGTGGGAGCCACGATATAGTCGGGGTTCAGGAGACTTGGCGCATCATCCCGAGAAAACTGGGCGATCATGTGTTTCGGGGGAGAATGAGGAGGCTCGATCATGACGGACGGGGCCGTGGTCGTTGGCTTTGGACTCAGTGGAGGCGGTGGTCCAAGTGAACGCGTCGAGGCGCGGAGGCCAAGCTCATGTTGAGGGAGGGGGAGATATGTTGCAGATACACTGCCGCGATCGGCTCGTGGTTTTGGCGGCGGCCGCGGCGCGGGCGCATGATACGTGTTCTCTTGTACTGTCTTGACCTCGCGTAACCGCTCTGGTTTGGGCGCCGGAGAGACTGCTCGAGGGGGCGAGAGGCCGATGCCTGGTTCGGGGGGATGGGTCATCTGTAGGTTTTCGAACTTGGCTCGTAGCGACGACACGGGCTTCTGCGATGCTATCAGCGCATGGACAAGCACATCGGCACGTAGCTGGGACTCACAAGCGACGAGCCGTCAGGCCCGTTCTCCTCTGGCGGCGCCATGTTGTGTCTACGAAGGGGGGGGGATCAAGTAGGCAGCGGGGTTTCAAATCGAGAACACCCATAATACCCAGGGTCGGACACAGGCGCTGAGAGCGCAAGGGACGCGAGGTGAGCCACCAGAGCAGCGATGGAGTCCACCGACGGAATGGCGTCCCTGACTAGATATTTCTTGGGAGGACGAGACTGTTTGTATTTGGAAAGTCGATGAGGTTGAATAGGGCCGCACTGGAGGGTCGATCATAATGATATCTCTAGGTTTAGAGTTGAAGCTTGCGGGGGGGGGGTAGAGGCTACTCGGAGGACATGGCTTGTTCCTGGGAGAGAGCTGATGGTCGGGCGTGGTCTGTGGATTGTGCGAGTCTACTGTGATGGTAGTTTCGTATCGCTTGGTGTCTGCGTGGGCATTTGCGTGTTGAGGCCAGTCGACATTGAAAGGGAGATCGGCAGGCTGTGGCAGTGTTGGATGTTCCAGTTGCTGTCAAAGTCTCGTGTCCTGGCGACGCCTGAACAGCCGCCTCGCCTGTCGTAAGCTGTTTCCCGCTCGGCAGCGTCACTGGGCTGGGGGTCCCACATAGCGCTGGGCCGAACTGGGCAAAGCCGTTTGGGTGTGCCTGGGCAAAAGTACGTGGTACGTGCTGTGGGTACCACCTGATGGCACATCAACCCTGGCTTGGCAGGAGGCCAGGAGCCACTGGTAGAAAGCCCGCGGCCAGGAAGGAGCAGGGCACCACAGCTTGAGCCCCGCCCGGCGCGGGGCTGTTGAGTTGGTTTCGTAGCAGGTGCGAGGTACTTGCAGGTAGCAAGGGTACCTAGGTAGATACTGCGGCCACTGGCACTCAGGGCCTCAGCCCGCTACAGAACTGCGTCACCTCACCCCGGAACCCCCCTGTAAATCGCCAACGTCGCCTGCATTCTCCCATCAAGTCCCCGTCACCAGCGTGCAAGCCAGACAAGGTACTGTACTAAGGCGAGATGCCAGTCCCAGTCCCTTACCATGACTACCACCTAGGTATCGTAGGTAAACCTACTTACCTTAAGTAGCGGCGAAGCCAGCCGGAGCCGGAGGTGGGGTGGGGTCTTCAAGGGAAGCACGCACGGTTCAGGCGGGATCTGAATGGCTGGACCACGGGAGAAGTCGTCGATATCACCCCATTAATCCATGTCGCTCGGAACGACTGAACATTTTACAATCGTCCTCCCCGTTCGTCGCCGTCGCTCAATCTTTTCCTCCTCTCCGTACCTTACTACTTCGTCTCTTCGCGCAACCCAGACAAGAACGGCCAATTCACCCACAAACACACAAGATGAACAACGTAAGACTCTCCCGGCGATGACCTCATGTGTTGTGGCATGACTGACCTCAGGATGGCGTAGGTCAAATCATTCTGGTACGTGATGCCCGGTGCGCTCAAACCCGTGAGCCTGCCAGACTGACCGTCCTCGACTCTAGGCTCGGATGGGGCTCCCTTTGTGTTGGTACGCTACCAGAACGGCCTGATCCTCTCGGACACACAGACTGCTGACACGATGACGACAGCTGGTGGAGGCGCATACTACTTCGCGAAGAAGAGCATCAACGCCGACCGGATGTCCAGGCTTGAGGACCAGCGCAGGAAGAAGCAGATGATCGAGTCGATGGAATACTCCGAGAACGTCCCCAGCAGGCCCCTCTCGTCCGCGACAATGGGCGGCACCCCGGCCGCCAGCCCTGCCCGCACCGACACGGCTGGCTCTCCCAGCCAGGAAGCCGGCGCCGACCCTGCGCCGACGCGCCATGCGCCTACGACGGAGGAACAACGAATCTTCGAGAAGAGCAAGTACGAGAGTGCCGCGCCATTCAGGAGTCCGAAGGGAGACCGATTTTCCTGATTGCCGACACACGCACATACACGGGTGGAAGACATGTCGTGTTTAGAGTGCCCTACTGTCTCGGAACGAATATGGTACCCGGGGCGAGTGTACAATTATTAATGCGGATTTGCTCTGTTCTCTTTAGAAACGGCGAGCTGATAGTGGCGCTACGAATTAACGACCCAAGCCTCCCCTCTACATTTCATTATCCTGTCTCCCCTTCTGTGAGGGGATGTAGTCTCGATTTGCCAAGCACGCCTTGTACTTATCTCACAAACTGTCCAATGGTAGCGCATGCAGCGATCGCCGCTGACGATGCGTTGTGCACAACGTCAACGTTGCAGGTAACCATGTAACCGTGTGGAGGGGATTGGCCGGCAGCAATGTGAGATTAAGCAGCTAGCTCCCGTGGAGCAGTTACACCAAAGACGCTCTTCACCATACTGGACATTTTCTACTCAGGTCTACACGCAGGCCAACAGAATCACTGTCAACATGTCCTAAATTCCACGCCTCACCAGCTCCGTCACGCATTGGTAGTGGCTCGAACACTTGTCCCCCCAATCACGAAGAGATCACGCTTTCAAGGGCCACCACATTTGAGCAAGCTGATTGTAAACTTTTTACAACTCTTCCTTTCGTATCTGTGACAAACGTACATGATTTCAAATTTGTGGGAGCTGTCCACCCCTTTTAGGCGCCTGTTGTACATCCCCAACGTACTTAAACCTTGACCTTCTTGGCAGCGCTGCCATTCGTTTCCTCAGTGGTATCCAGTGACCTCTTCTCAGGCTCAGCGGCGATCTCCTTCTCGGCCTGCACAAACTTGGCATGCTCCTCAGAGGTCAGATCGGGAAGCAGAGGCTTCTCCTCGTCCGAGGTCAAGTTCAGGTGGAAGGTACGGATGACGGAGTCAGCGTCGTCAATGGCGAGCGGCCTCACGTCGGCCATGGCTTTGACCTTCTTGGTGCACTCCTTGACCTGCGCATCGGTCATGGTCAGGCCAAGCTGCTCGACACGGCTCTTGATGGCGTTCCAGCCAGTCAACCTAGACGCAAAGTGGACGTCTGGATGTACGGTCAGCAAAGCCCTCCGTTATGATAGCAGATTAACTTACAGCGAGACAGGCCGAAATCGGAGGGATTCAGGACCTCGTAGGTGCTGGGGTTGTTCAGAATAGCCTTGGCGTGAATACCGGCCTTGTGGGTGAAAGCACACTGACGCTTGTGTTAGACTCAAATAAAACGGATGAGCTTCAGCTTCGGGGGAAAACGTACGAATCCAGTGATAGGGTTGTTGAACGGGATGTTAATTTGGACTGTTCAAGTCAGCCTTTGCTTCATGATTGGCACATGATTCGCGAGCTGCGATTGGTTTTGAAGGCAACGGCCAATGAACCTCAGGTGTCAGGGTTGAAAGCTCAAACAACCTTGCCTCGTACCAATCGCAACACAACGGCATTGTGGGGCAGGGAAAAAGACATACCAGCGTCGGCCACGAGGTTCTCGAGATCCTTGAGCTTGTGGAGCTTGTACCTGTGTAGTCATTAGCCTCAGGGTGAGGCAGGACGAACCAGGCATCCCAACTTACTTGCTGGTAACATACTCGCGGTCGGCAACAACCATCCTCTTGCAAGATGTCAGTTTACAGTTCAAGGGATCCGGGTATCTCAGCACGTACCGCCATCAGACCACCGAGAGTGGTGATACCGTTGCGCTCACCGATTCCTAAACAACATCAGCGTCATGTTTCGCATCGCTTCGGAGCATGAGCCACTAAGACACCGCAGAGCCTTTGCTATGGCAGGCATGGACATACCAAGAACGGAAGTATCAACTGAAGGGCAATCTAGTTAGCATTGTTTCCAGAGAGAACCGTGTTTTGTGGTGAGACCTACCGTGTGTAGCACCGGCCTCGAGAGCGCAGTAGGCGTTGGCAACGGCACAGCCAGTGTCATCGTGGAAATGGGTCTCAATGTCACACTTGACAACGCCACGAAGAGCTATAGGGAACGTTGTCAGATAGTTTCCTCCAAGTTGAGGTGCTGCTCCGCCACTTACTCCTGACCAGGTCATAGACCTGTCTGGGGGACGCGCAGCCACTGAGAGAGGGTCAGCAAGAATTCGGCGCCAAATACTAGGATTCAACTTACACTGTGTCTGCGATACCGACACGCGTGACGCCAACCTTGTCGACGGCGCTGTACACGGAGAGAAGGTCGACGAGGTTGGAGCGGAAAGAGTCCTCGCTGGAGAAACGGACCTCAAGGCCCTTCGATTTGACGAACTCGATGACCTCAATGGCCGTCTGGCAAGTTGTCAGCGTCATGTCATCTAACTAGATGGATGTTTCGGCTGCATTAAGACACCCGATCGAACTTGGATGACTCACGTTGATGATGTACGTCATGTCCTTGCCGTGCGAATGCTCCCGAAGGTATGAAGATGTTCCGATAACGACGTCAAGACCATCAACACCAGTCTCAACAGCCAGACGGGCATCATCCATGTGGCAGCGAACGTGGGTGAGGATCTTAGCCTTGAGGCCGAGCTTGCAGATCGTCTCGCAGTCCTTGCGCGACTGCTCACTGGACGCGGGGGATGTCAACTCGATGTAGTCGACTCCAAAATCGTCGAGGGCCTTGGCAATCTTGATCTTGGTCTCTGTGTCGAAGAAGGCGTTGGCGAACTGCTCGCCCTCGCGCAGGGTGGACTCGACTGCCGGGAGCACATGGTGTTAGAAGCGTGTTTCTCGGGGGCGATTCTTGGACTGTCAATCTTGGCCTTGTTGCGCCGGTAGACTCACTGATCTTGAACCTAGAAACATTGCTAAGGAAGTCGCCTACAGGCTGGTAGGGGCTGGAGTGCGTTTGCTTGGTCTGCGGACGAGGCGATTAGAGCTCTGACCCAATGAACATCGATGTAAGGATTTCGCCTGTATCACTGGAGGGTCACACTTACAGGAATGGCCGTGAATCCAGGGTGGGCTGTGGTACATGTTAGCAAAGGTTCATCCTCTCCGGTGAGCGAGGATGTCATGGGTGGGCAGGGTATGACATGCAGTTGTCGGAGCCGTTCGAGCCATTCGCGCCATTGGCATGGCCGTTCACGACCGGAGCTTCATCGGGAGTCGGGCACATGATTGTTGATGTTGTCCAGGTGAATCAATCAATTGATAAGTCGGTCGGCAGGAAATGCTCAGTAGATGTCAGGGCGAGATATTCAGCTGCGTAATCGCCACTAGAGAGTCATCCAAAATAACGTGGATTCGATTCGGAGGAAAAGGTTTGGATAGGTAGGAAATAGCAAGCAAGCCAAGCTGCTAGTGGGGCGTCTGGGGAAGTTCTTCTCATTCCGATGGCCGGAGCAGTGTGACGCATGTACATGCAAGGTACGTCAGACGCCCGAGTGGTAATTCGTGCGATCAGCATCACGTGCATCTGCTCTTTTGTGGGTCCAAAGCTTCACCCGCGGATCTCCTCTGACTGTGTGTACTATGTATGCGCCTCACCAGGCTTCAGGCTAGCAATTCCATCAAGCAGCCGCCTCGCAGCACGACACAGGCGCGATCCCCCAGAACCACGACACGGTCGACATGCGAGTTTCTTGACGATGACGACCCCTCAACTGGCCATCGCGAAGGTCAACTTCAGCGCCGTCCTTTTCCGCAAAGAGCCGACGCCTCTGACCCGCCCCCAAATCGAGTCGTTCCACACCCTGCTGTCTGATGCCATCTCCAAATGCTCCCCTGCCAACGTTCAGGTTTGACTTGCCCTGTCCGCTCATTCGGCCCCCTTTTGGTGCCGATACGCGCTTCTCCCGTCGCCAGCTTCGAGACTAAACCACCACGCTTCTAGAAATGCAAGCGCTGGATCCTCGACCACCTATGCGCTTCGCCGGCACGCGTCGCAGCCCTGGGCAAATATCTGGTAGCCTTGTCGAGCTCCATGACCGGTGATGCTGCCGTCGGCGTCAGGAGACCGTCTGCGAAGCGCAGACAGCTGCACATCCTCTATGTCTTGAATGACGCCATCTACCATACAAGTAGCCGGCAGCACAATGCTGGTTTTGCAAAGGAGATTGAGGGCAGCTTGCCCAGCCTGTTCCGCCAAGCAGCGAGCTTCCAGAACAGTCCAAAGCATATGAGCAAGCTCGGCAACCTGTTGTCGCTCTGGGATGACGAGCGTTACTTCTCGCCTGATCTAGTTCAGGACCTGCGGGACATCCTGCGAGCAGGCCCGCAAAGCCTCACGGCCGCCCAGACTACGACCGACGACGCAAAAGCCAGCTCTGGCCAGGCCAGCGGTGCAAGATCCGGGAGAGAGGCGCCATACCTTTTGCCCTCGATGCACGGCGACCCTCGGCTGTCGTGGTATGACCTGCCCGCGGCCAATTGGCTCCCTCACCTGACGCCTAATTCGACGAAGCCCATGCAGCCCGACATGATCAAGCCTCTTCAGCTAGCATCCGGCCCCGCCGACAAGGCCCTCGCACAGGCCGTCAAGGATCTTCTTCGAGATGTGGAGAGCATCTACAGCAAGGAAGCGACGGGCGACGAAGACCAGCTGGTGGACCTGAACGAGATGGGGGAGCAGGTCATCATCGACGAGATCACGGGGGATATCATTGGCGGCACAACATACTACGGCTGGTCGCGGGGGTTCTGCGAAAAGATGAAGCAGCGAAAGAAGAACGTCAAGCTGGGTCCCACGAGCCGTGGCCGCGAGCGCTCGCAGGCGTCCAGTCGCTCGAGGAGCCCGTCTCGGGACAGATCAAGAAGTCGCACCAACTCGCCGCCAGCCTTCAAGCGGCGAAGATTGTCCCGCGACAGCCCGAGCCCGAGCCGCAGCCGAAGTCGCAGTCGTGGCCGGAACCGTGACGCCGCACGACGTAGCCCCGAGCCAAGAGGACGTTATCGGCCTCAGTCTTACAGCAGATCGAGATCCCGAACACCCCCTCGACGGTACATGTCACCATCCTCGACATCGCGAGATCACGACTTAGGTCTGAGTCGTAGCCGGGACCGCGACGACCACGCACACTACAACGCGACAGCCAACGCGCAACGCGGACGCCCGCCACCCCCTCCGCCGTCCTTCCCACCACCATTGTCCTTCCCGCCTCCGCCGCCCGGCCCTGGCGTTGGGGAGTTTTCGCACTTTGGGCACCAAGGGTCCTGGCCACCGCCGCCTCCGCCACCGCCTCACCTGGGCATGGGCGGACCGCCGCCGAACTGGTTTCCCCCCGTACCACCACCGCCAGGGGGGCCAGGGGCCAATTGGCAGCAGCACCAGCAACAACCACCGCCGCCGCCGCCACCACCGCTGCACCAGTATAATCAGCCGCAGCAGTCGTACGGGAGAGGGGGCTACAGCAGCCGCGGCAGCCACGACAGGGGTAGAGGACGGTGGAGGTAGCGCTTGTCAAGGATACGTGTCACAGCGTTCGAGCAGTTCAGACAGGTTTTTTTTAAAATGAAATGCAGTCTCAGCGCTAATAATTCTGAAGCCCAAACCGAGCGACGTTATTCTTGTTCTGCACACTTGGCCTAACCACCCATCCTGTAACTTTCAGATACCGAAAGCTGGGCATCGTGCCAGCGGAACGTATACTTGACATGCCCCTGTTCCATGTCTACGGTCTACTGTGTGGCCTCATGGATCCCTTCCTTTTTTGACATCCATCGTTGTCCGGCCCAAAAGTCTCTGCCGGCGAGTTCTGCAATGGATTCACCCCTCACAAAGCTAACTGAGACATTGCTGTTGGAGACGGGGTATGCTCTCTGGGGCCAGCGGTGCCATTTGTGGTCTTCCTCTGGCTCGCAAGGCTGGCAATCGAGTCCCACTTTTGCTTCCTCTCGGTCTCGCGTGCAACAGCAGTGTTTTGTTGCTCAGTGTAGTCGTGGGAGCAGTCGTCAAAAAGTTGGGGGTTGATCTCCATGAAAAGCTTCATAGCGTTGTACACCATACCGTGAATTGTCCTGATAAGGCTGTCAGCTCAAGCAGTTAAGAGATAACAAGTGAGGTACACACCTGTTCCAGTGACCCTTGGAGTTCTCGTAGAGGGGTGCAAACATGATGGGAAGGATGATCTCCACATTGTCGCTGACAAGGTTGCAAAAGTACTCGTTGTTCCAGAAGTATAAAGCGCGCTCTGCGACTTGGAAGTGCGGACTCGCAACTGACTTCGCAAGCTGGTGGAACAGGGGCTCCTGAACCTTGGCGAATTCGGCGGGGTCCATGACTTCGAAGATATCCTCCACCTCATTGAGGAACATAACCTCTTTGGTGCTGTTGGTCTTGGGCCAGTATCGGAGCAGACCGAGAACAACCTGCAGCAATTAGCGCTATTCTTTCCTCCTGATGCGGTGGCTGACGCGCCGACACAAACTTACCTCTTCTGTTAGAGATGCGTCTTTCTCCAAGAACTGCACAATGCAGTAAGCTAGTTGAGGGTGGTACATGCTCAAGCTCTTGACCTTGTGCAGGGGGATCAGAACTCGCGTGAGGAAGGTCTTGTGTTCCTCCTTCAACGGCAGGGCAAATCCATTGATGATCGAGCCCAGGATTTCAAGCAGCTCCGCGATACCGTTGAACCTCTCTGTCTCATAGGTGAACTGGAAAAAGACGTTGTTGATGGAGCGCCTGATAAAAGATCGCAAGTTCAGGAATTTGCCGTAAATGCGATGAAGAGTGGTCTTCAGGAAGTCTCTTTCACGAGGGTCCTCGGAGTCGAACAGTTCCAGTAGCTGCAGGACAAAGCTATGGTCAATGTAGGCTTTGGCAATGTTCGTGTTGAAGTCCTGGCTTTCGATGAAGCGAAGGAAGAACTCGTACACGACCTGAATATGAGGCCACGCTACCTCCAGCACGGGCTCATCCTCTTCCGGATCGAAAGCCTCGCCTTGGGGGTTCATGGGGGGCGGGATGGGACGGAACAGGTTCTTGTTGAACATTTCGACGACCCTCGGATACATAGGTTCTGTAATGACCTGACGGTTGTTGGCCACGTAGTCGAGCAGCTCGTGCAGTGCCAGTCGCTTGATCTCCTTGGACTTCATGTCGCCACTGGCATCGTTAAAGTCAAAGATGACATTGCATTGATCAATTTTCTGCATGAACAGGTCCTGGCGCCGATTGGGAGGTACTTCGTGAAAGCCCGGCAGTTTCTCGAGCTCGCGGTCCGCTGAGATATCGAATCGCGAAGAGTGCTGGCGTTTTGGCGTCCGCATGCCCTCGGGCACGTCTTTCGGTGTTTGATGAAGGCGGTCGAACATCAGCGACTTGGTGCCCGCCTTGGGGGGTGCCAGGTCGTGTGGCATAGTCTCTGCAGCGCCAGGAGGGGGGACGTGCTACAGTGGAGTTGTCGTCAGCAGCGGTTCAAGATGCAGGCCGGGTTCATAGGCATGGGCTGATAGTGAGAGAGGGGGGTATCTTACTGGAGCGCTTGGGCTGATGACGACGGACGGAGGTAGGGCCCCGAGTCGAGAAGGGGTACCGTTGCCATTGGAAGCTTGTGAGGTGCCGCCGAAACGATCCTGGCCCGCGGTTTGTTGGTTGCTCAGAGGTGACGGCTGGTTCGGCGCGCCGTGGTCGGTTGCGGTGCCACTGGGCAGGGGCTTGTTGCGAATATCGTTCAGTGTAGAAGTCGAAGAAGAAGGCGTCAGCACAGGTGACTGATTTGCGTCGCGACCCGAGCCCACGGACGAAGGTGAGGCGGCACCATCCTTGGCGTCCTTGCTCTTCTTGGGCTTGTTGGGGTCCTTGCCGCGCGACAACTGGGCCTGTACCGAGTTCGTCAGCAAGATCAGTGGGTAGTTCGTATGAAGGTGGAGTGAGGAGCATACCTTAACGCGCTGGCTGAAGCGATTCATATTGTTCATAGAAGACCTCAGTACGGTCTCTGATGGTAACGAACGCTGATAACGGGGATTGCCGAGGGGTGATTGGTTGCGTCAGGCACCGGTCCGGGAGTAGCTGAGGGGCAACGGTAAGGTAGGTATACAGGCAAGGCTGGCGGGTGCGAGAAAGGCACAAGAGGTAGCCAGAGCTTGTTGGGAGATAATTGCGGTCGCGCGAGGTCGTGTTGATTGGCGGCCGACAGGTGTATCGCGACAAGGAGAGGGTAGATGTTCTGGCTTGTCGTGACGATGACACCGCCTTCTGAATCGATGGACAGGTTTGTTAAGGAAGGAGCAGAATAGTGGCAGGAGTCAATGGGAGACACCTTGCTCCCGGGTTTGGGGGGGAAGGCGTTTGAATGTTCGGTGGGGAGGGGATGGAGTTCGCCTCGCGAACGTGCGACCGCAGTGTCGGGGAGTTTGACGTGGTCAGGATGATGATGGGTGGTGCTGCAGGGCACAGGCCAAGCCAGAGGCGGGTGTTCGATGAGGGGCGCCAGAGAGAAGCACACCCATTCGGCTTGGGAGGCGAAGGCACTCAAGGAAGGCCTGATGCACAATTATATCGAGGTGAGGTGGGATGCGAGGGGCAGGCGAAAGGGGGGAGACCCTTGGTGTATTTTTGGCCTGATTCGACCTCGAGTTGGGCTTGAGCTGCGGAAGTGGTGTTGTCGGGGAGAATGCTGGGAGTTGGAGTCGCAGTTGTTTGCGGGGCCAACGTGAGGTGTGCGACAACACGGAGCCAACTAGACCCCCGGTGCTCTCTCTCTCTGTCTCCTGGCTAGGTAGGTCAGGTACCTTAGGTAGGTACCTTAGGTAGAGCTGAGAGCTGGGTGACCCTGTGGAATAGCAGGGGACTCGTGGTAAGATATGGGGCAAGCCTCTAGTACCTCAGGTACCTGGGAAGGTAGGGTGAGCTCCTCGACGACGAGCCGGGGGATGTCCGGCAATTTGTCGTGCGCAGCAGGTCGCAAAAGACCAGAGAATCAAACGAAAAGAAATGAAAAGGCTTGTTTGTAGTTCTCAGGATCGAGGTCGATGCTGATCACGCCTTGGGCTGATCTGGACATTCAGGAACACCTACAGGTAACGGTAAGAGGAACCCCCCTAGGTGCACTTGGCGACGGCAAATTGAGGTAGTGGGAGTGGAAAGGGAAGGGGGGGATTGAGGGAGGCAGGTACCATGTACTGGCCAATCTCCCTCTCGTCAATGCACTGGTAAAGATTGCACCTAAACTGTTAGAAGGTACATTGGACACGATCCCACGCGGCCAGTAGGGGGTGTATTTGGTGGACTGGTGCACGGGCCATATGTCACGGGATTTGGCAGCTTCTTTGATTGGGGCCAGTTACAGTGCGCGTTGTCAAAGGACGGCGAGACACTGTATGCTTGGCAATCACTTCTTCAGCAATTCTTGCCCGTTCGATGTAAGCCTGGCTCATCGACAACCCGAATGAACGCCTTCTCAGCCAAGCCGTCTATTTCATTCTGTTCAGAACCTGCGTTCCTTCACTGGGATGAGCACGTCAAGCGAGCGAGCTCCCCGACGCCCAGTGGCATCGTTCAGAGATGTGTGAACCAGGGTAATCCTCTAGCACCAACAATATTGATACCTAACATATCCTCCATATTGCAAGATGCAGAATCCCAACGACGCCGCATATCGGGCAGCTGACCACTCGCGAAAGGGTGCCATGGAACACGCCTTGGCGAAAGCAGCAGCGAGGTCGGAAAACATTCTTGGCTCATCTGAATCTGAATCCACGTCAAGCTCAGAGAGCGACATCTTTGATGACGAGGCGCGCAGGCACCCGATTCCCAAGCGTGTCCTATCGGCAGTCGAAGTTCCGATGATTGTCATGAATCTCGACCGGGCTGAAAAGGCGTTTGGAAGAATCACCAGTTTCCAGAACGTGCTCGACTTGGATCGCCTGAGCATCCCCTTCTATCTCAACCCAGAGAGTCCTTTCAGGAGACCTGTCATGTCGCATAACGCCGCTACACATAACGTTGTGCTCAAAATCACTGTTCCCAAGAGAACAGGGAGGAAACGTAAGACAGGCTCCAGCGGCCCTTTTGAGGGCGAGTCGAACGCGATGGAGCCTGGGGGTGTGGATGCACCCTCGTCCCACGTATGCTCCAAGGCACGAGAAGATAATCCAAGAGTCTTGCGCCGGAAGCTACAAGACAACATCGACGACTATCGTGTTGAGCCGGTTGGCCTTGTGAAGGGCACGCACCGATTTCGAGGTTTGACACCGTGTGCTTGGTAGATAGGCCCATGACTGACATCACGCAGGCCCAGCTGACTTTCAATGGAACATGGACGAGTCACCGTTTATCAAGCGATTTCAAGAGGGCGTCATGTCTGGCGACCTTAACAAGATGCGAGAGTTCAAATTCAACGAGGGAACAGATCTGGGTCCGAATGTTGAACTCATCCCACCTCCCCAATGGGCTACAAGCGCCCTGCCTTTCAATTACACGTACGAGCAGAATCCATACGTGCGTCCGGAGATGGACCCAAGCGGCAAGCAAACACTGGTCAACA